GGCTGTGTTGTGTGGAGCACTTAGGCAATGGTGCCCATTTCCTGAGGATGGTATTGGGTACCGCCACGAATGATATTGACCTTTGAACGACGACAATTTGTGGATTCCATTACATGTTCGGAGACCCATCGTAGGCAGTTTTCAATTACAAATCAAAGGATCATGTTGAGTTTTTATGAAGAGAGCTGGTATCTGCTAGAAATTCTGAATGTGAAAAATACTATGAATTCTCTTGTCAGGGTTCCAAAAACAATGAAACATCTGCTTCTATTCTTTCGGCCATTATTGGGCCGACCTCAGTCTGCGGCAACTATGTTCTTCTAACTAAGAGAAGTCAGATTTTGCAGTCGCAATGCTGCGCCGCTATCCTATCTGTTGTGAGGGCTGATGCTACACGTACTGTTCATAAAGAAGACTGTGAGATAAATTATCGTAGAATGAGAGTCTGTTGAAAGCAGTGTCCGAGCAAAACCAAGAATTTCAAGTCTTCATCGGAATATCATGGCCGTCTCTAATCGATAAGCTCCCCAAATTTGAACGTAATTGGCCGTAGCATCGTGAAAGTCACTTCCGCAACATCGGCCATGTTTCGCTCTCTCGCCACCAGTGCTCTCTAGTGCCTTAGCTATGCGATCGCTCCAGGACTAGCTTGAAAAGGTCTCGCTGCAACTCGTCCTAGTAATCCAGAAAGAGCCAAAAACTCTGTCTTTTTTCATACAATAGCAGTAATTGATGTTGATATCTGTGTTCAGCACATTTAAGTGGTTCACTAGAGGTGGAGTGCTCAGAGTCAAGAATTTGCCTAAACAGTAATTTTAAGCTTTCCCTTGCGTCAAATGATTTATCATCAACAAAAGGGACCTTTTTATGTAAAATGTTTTGATATTAAAAACGTCTTCCTCTTGTGTGTTACAGAGTGAATTTATTTGACACAACGAAAAAAACAACACACACAAATGCTCTTTGTAACGAATAAAATAATGTTAACATCATAAAAAGCTATTACACAGCGGAGCACAATGAATTTAATAATTTCTAGTAATTATTATCAAGTATCACCTACCGTGTCCTCTAAGTCAAGAAAAAGCCAAAATCTTCGTTTCGAAAGAAAATTTGGTTAACTTTTATACCAGTGACGGAAAATAAATTTGACTTGATAATGTGCATCAAAGACCAGTCATTCAATATCAAGGGACAATCTTTAAATGACTACATTTATTGAACATTCTCGAAAAGCACAGCAATACCCTGTCCACCTCCGATACAAGCTGATCCGATGGCGTATTTAAGATTTCGTCTCCTGAAATTATTTATTATGATGTGCGAATGGTCATGTGATGTTATTATTAACCAGTTCCGTTGACCACTAATTAAGCCTTCTCTAGACAAAATAAATGCGAAAGCTTTCCAGTTTGACGTAACGAAGTATGTTACTAATTCAGAAAAAATATTTGCACAGAGCTGTAACTTCGCTAGAATTTTTGCTAATTGTCAAAGCGGTCCGATTGGACATCAGGAAAGTTAGCGTACTGACTATGGTTTTTTTTTTGGATTTGTTGTGCTATCTGCAATTACGGAAGCTACCCCAATTGATTACTTACTTGAGTTCATGTACGAGATGAACGCTGATTCGAGCTCCGGATGCACCAAGAGGATGTCCAAGAGCGATAGCGCCACCATTCAAATTCAATTTTTCCATGGGAATGCCGAGGTCTCTTTGAACAGCCAACGCTTGAGGTGCAAAAGCTTCATTAACCTGACAGAAGACTGTTTCGATATAAGATAGAAATTTGCAGTTGGTTTCAAAAATAAGAGTGGGCGG